ATATATATATATATATATATATATATACACACACACACACACATACACACATATATATATATCAGCACAGTAATTTTGGAAAATTTGGTACCAGACAGTAAGAGTCTTACACATCCTGAGTAATTCCACATCGCAAAATCTAAGTAAACAGCCTAATATCACAGAATCATTAGCAGTTACAGTAGACCCCCTTATCCTTGGGGGGAAATGGTCCAAGACCCCATATGGATTCCTGAAACTGCAGACAGTACTGAATCCAACAGCCATCAATTGGAACATGATGGCGGGTTTCTATTCTAGTCTTCCACCTACATATTTAATGCCTTTTCCATCTTAACTAAGAACTTATCAAGCATTGTGGTCATAACTTTTGCAGTTTGAGGTGCAACAGTAAAACAAGCAAAAAATTTATTTTCGTTGTTGATAATTTCATGGATAGAAAATTTGTCTTATCATATGTAAATCTTAACAATCTCAACATACAATTTTCTTATTAACTCAAGAACTTTCATTTTTTCACTTCAAGGAAGACTTCATGGCTTTTTCATTGGCATATCTGAATTACCAGCATCACTACTATTGCACTTTGGGGCCATTACAAAATCAAATCTAATAGCTGAGACAGCCACGGAGTGACTAATGGACAGTTAGCATATGCAGTATGAGTTCACTGGACAAGATGATTCACATCCTAAGTGGGATGGAAAAGGATGCTGTTCAATTTCATTACACTTCTCAGAATGGCATGCAATTTGGAACTTATTAATTGCTTATTTCGGGAATTTTCCATTTAATGTTTTCAGGCCACAGTTGACTGCAAGTAACTAAAACTGCAGAAAGTGAACAGCAGGTAAGGGGGGACTATTGCAATCAGAAATAACCTAAATGTCCAAAAACAGGAGAATGATTGTGTGTGTGTGTGTGTGTGTGTGTGTGTGTATTCACATATATAGTTATATATACATAATTTTTAATGATTATATATTATGCCATTATGTAGGTAAAACACAGCTGTATAATCATTAAAAATTGTATTTATAAGCTGGATGTGGAGGCTGATGTCTGTAATGCCAGCATCTTCGAGAGGCTGGGGCAGAAGGATCGTTTGAATCCAGGAGTTTAAGACCAGCCTGGGCAATAAAGTGGGAACTCATCTCTACAAAAAAATTAGCTGGGTGTGGTGGCTCATGCCTATAGTCCCAACTACTTGGGGGGCTGAGGAAGGAGGATAACTTGAGCTCAGAAGGTCAAGACTACAGTAAGCAATGATGATTGCACCATTGCACTCCAGCATGAATGACAGAGACTTTGTCACAAAAAAAAAAAAAAAAATATATATATATATATATATATATATGAAGTTTATAATTTTGTACCATATTTTTTTTTCTTTTTTTTCAATAGATTTTGGTTACATGAATATCATTTTTCATAGAAAGTGAAAAGAACAGGTTCTAAAATATATAGAAGATATGATAGCAACTATTATCCAATAGTTGTCAATGAAATGAATTATATTAAAAAATAAAAGCAGCAAAATTCCAACTCAAGATTTTTTTTAAAAGGAGAAGAAAGGCAGCCCCCTGGCACCAAGCAGCCTGAAAGTGCCCCAGCCCAGCAGCTAAAAGGAGAAGAAAATACTCCAAAATATTAACACTAGATTACTCTGGCTAACAAGACTTAAGATGTTAAATATGAAGTTTCTTGGATTTTCTTTCTATATATAATAATTTTACACTGAAGGGAAAATCAGAAATTAAAAGATAAACATGTCTTCCAACAATCTTCCACGCTTCCCTATGGCACAGCCTTATATCTGTCTACCCAGCAACCATCCTTCTCTTTTTCTTTAGTAACAGAATACAAATTTTATTCTGGAGATCCTCTGATTTCCTGCCTAGAGCCTGGACATGATGATTGGAGCACTAGCAACAATCTTGGACAACTAACAATGGCAGAACAGAAAAACAGAAGGAGCTTAGATCACCGAGAATAATATGGAGCTGTCACACCAGCTTGCTTACCTCTAGACTACTCTTACATTGGAGAAAAATTAAAATCTTAATTTTCCTAAGGTAAATGTGGGAGCAAGCTCTGACAGCCAAACATAAGTAGCAAATAAAACAATCCTCCAACTATCCCGAAAAATATCTTAACAAAATAGCCAAGAATGTTTTAATTTTTGTTTTCAATGTAAAGGGCCTTCAGATTTCAGAGCATTTCAATATGTCTTCCAAGTAGTAGTAAGACCTACCCTACAAGTACATCTCTGATGGGCTGAATTTCAAATAGCTAGACTATACCATTAGAGGTAAGATCAGAATGTGTCCTTCTTAAATGCAAATGTGAAGTCAGGCATTGCTTAGTATATCAGTTACACAGATCTTTAAATTCAAAAATTCCCCAAAAGCCCTATGAAAATAAACAAACAATTCAGGGAGGTTAAGGGAGAGGAAGGATGGTTAAAGGGAGAGACTTGTTAAAGCCTGCAAAATTAAAGTGAGATGGGAGGCGTTAAGTTCTAGGCTCTACAGCACTGTAGGATGACTACAGTTAACAATAATAAATAGTTTCAAAGAGCTAGACAGAGGATACTGAATGTTTCCAATACAAAGAAATGATAAATGTTTGAGAGGATGAATATGCTAACTACCCTGATCTGAACAGTACACCTATGTATCAAATATCAATATGTACCCCATAAATTTGTACAATTATTATGTGTCAATTAAAAAAATAAAATAATTCAAATTTTAAAAAGAGTATTAAGGGGACTATAATGGTCACCTGACTACAATAGCCTGACTACATGGCTGATCTCTGTGTTTCAATAACTACTCTTAAACTTCACCAAGGATCTGCCCACAGAGCAAAAAGAACCCTAGGAGAGTGTGGATGTACTGATGTAAATGTATCCCCATTACTGGAAAACAATCCAATCACATGGCATGCTGTACAGGCTATCATAAACCCACTGAACTTGTCTCAGAGGCAGAATAGTCATGGAACCTAGCTCAGCCATCACCTCTCTCAGGCTAAAGGTCGAATTAAACATTGTATAAGACAAGGTAGGAAGAGTGCACAGGCTTTAAAACCAGAGATTTTTTTCTGGTTTGGAATCCCAAATCTGATGCTTAGAGAGTTACCTAACACTCTGAGCCTCAGTTTCCTCATCTGTAAACTGAGAATAATAGCACCTTCCAGAGTTGTTTGGAAGATGAGAGATAAATTGCATAATGCACTTATAGTTGGCCCTCCATCTCTGGGTTTTGCAACCATGAATTCAACACATTGCAGATGGAAAATATATATTTTTTTAAATGCTTGCAACTGTACAGAACATGTACAGGCTTTTTTTGGTCATTATTCCCTGAACAATGCAACATAACAACTATTTACACAGCATTTACAGTGTGTTAGGTATCATAAGTAATCTAGAGATAACTTAAAGTATATGGGAGGATGTGAGAAAGTTATATTCCATACAACATTTTATATGAGGCATTTAAACATCCATGCATTTTGGTATCTAAGAGAGGTCCTGGAACTAATTCCCAACGGATATAAACAGATGACTATAAGCAGTATGTGGAATAGTAGGTACTAAATAAATGTCGAAAAGAAAACTCAGACCAAGGCTGGGCACGGTGGCTCATGCCTGTAATTCCAGGACTTTGGGAGGTCAAGGCAGGCAGATCACCTGAGGTTTGGAGTTTGATACCAGCCTGGCCAAAATGGTGATACCCTGTCTCTACTAAAAATACAAAAATTAGCCAGGCGAGTAGCAGGTGCCTATAATTCCAGCTACTCAGGAGGCTGAGGCAGGAGAAATGCTTGAACCCGGGAGGCAGAGGCTGCAGTGAGCCGAGATCAGGCCACTGCACTCTAGCCTAAGCAACAGAGTGAGACTGTCTCTAAAAAAAAAAAAAAAAAGAAAAGAAAACTCACACCACCCCAGCTACACTGCAGAAGGAGATGCCAAAGCTGTCTGTCAACACATCGGGGCCCATCCTAAGCACAGAGGATACAAGCTGGATCATCCATGTCTGGTTCAGCTGTGTCAAAAAATGGGTGGGTACTCAGAAGCTCTGGCACCAAGGGGAGCACCAGGGTTGGATGCCGACTTCCCAGAAACTTCAAGCACCTGAAACAAACCAATAAGAATGCACATCAAATTACAACAAATTAGTAAGTCTATGAAAGCACTAGGAATTGGAATCAGAAAACCTGAACTGGAAATGTAAATTCTTGATCATGTACTTTAGCTAACTCTATGACTTCAGATATGTCACCCAATTATTCTGGAACTCAGTTAATTCATCTTAAAAATTTGGTTATTGGGCCAGGCACGGTAGTTCACGCCTGTAATCCCAGCACTTTGGGAGGTCAAGGTGGGTGGATCACGAGGTCAAAAGATCGAGATCATCCTGGCCAACATGGTGAAACCTCATCTCCACTAAAAAATACAAAAATTAGCTGGGTGTGGTGGCACACGCCTGTAGTCCCAGCTACTCGGGGAGGCAGAGGCAGGAGAATTTCTTGAACCTGGGAGGCAGAGGTTGCAGTGAGCCAAGATTGCACCACTGCACTCCAGCCTGGTACCTGGTGACAGAGCGAGACTCTGTCTCAAAAA